AAAGCTTGGTTAGACGGAGTTGATTCACCCGCCATCTCCACTGCGCGTCGTTTCGCTTCTCTCTGTTCTATTCGCTTCATATATAAAATATATACATTCAAAAGTTCATTCTCGTTATTTGACTTATTTAATTCCGATATTGACTAACGTGATTTAATTCGATGATTATATAAGAGGATAGGTGACATATAAATCCTAATGACATTCATTCATTACGATCTCCTTGGAGTCAAATCTCGGGCCAATAAACTACCATTAAATCAGCACTAGACTCTATTAAACTCATTTAAAAGGTGTGATAATAACAACGTCTTGCATTACCGAAATACCTGGAAGGAGCTATTGAAACTAGAGTTTGTTTATTGTTTATCAAAATATTTCTGTATCCTGCTTCAAATATACTCTTTACTTGAGCATGCAAAATTCAAAATGAAAAGCAATAAGTCGAGGAATATGTAGCCCCCAAACGCATTTAAATCCTAAAACCTCTGTTGTCTGTAGGGAAATCTTCTAAAAAAGAGTGCAACAACAGTCACTCAGTACTGAAAAATGGAGTGGACAGTGATGATCAAAATGTCGTTTGTAAACTGCTGGGTGAGTTTCTTTAACAATGAGAATATATTTCATGCTCTACGTATCAGTCTTAGATAGATTAGCGAGAATAATCTCAGTAGTAATAATATCTAACGCAGGATTATTATCACTGTCAATAAACCATCAAGCTGAACTCAAGCTCAGGTGTTCATGACTACTCATTAGTTATCTATGGAAAGATAGAACCGTGAATTCTAAAACAGCTACTGAAAATATTTAACTTCTACTTAGAAGCAAGAACATACCCAGAAAAATGAAAGTAACTTACGTAGTCCCTAAATATAAACCAGAACGAATGATGAAAGCAATGGTGAAAGATCAAATATCCGACCACCTACTATCTGAAGGTCTAACTAGTGTCTCTTAGCATGGCTTCTTTATAACTAGGTTAGGAACTTCATGTATGTGGGACTTGTTCGATGAGGTTGCTTGAAACAGTGATCAAAAGAAATTAATTGTCTTATTAAACCTAAACCTAAATAACGTCTAACAAATTACCTCACAATCTATTAATAAACAGACTGCAGTCTACCTGAAGAACCTATTCCCTTCTACGTTCTCGAAGTTGTTTCTTGCGAATCGATATCAAATACGTCAACTTTGTTACGTCTGTACGCCAACTTGAATCATTAATTAACCTAAGACCGAAATTGTCCCTTAGCCAAAACTGCCCCAAACACTAAAATATCGAAAATACGAAGATTATTAGGTTTTATTTTAGGACAGTTCTGTCAACATAAGTTTAGAATCCTTCTGTACAAGATTTTTGTTAAACCTGTCCATTACTTACTTACTTACATACTCACGCCTCCTACTCCCAATGGAGCATTGGCCGCCGACCAGCATTCTTCAACCCATTCTGTCCTGGGCCTTCTTTTCTAGTCACATCCAATTCTTATTCATTTTCCTCTTGTCTGTCTCCATTTCTCGGCATACTGCGTTCCTCGGTCTTCCTCTTATCCTTTGGCCTTGAGGATTCCATGTGAGGGCTTGTCTTGTGACGCAGTTGGGTGCTTTCCTCAATGTGTGTCCTATCCACTTCCAGCGCTTCTTCCTGATTTCCTCCTCCGCTGGGATCTGGCTTGTTATCTCCCACAGTAGTGTCCGGTCAACGGATCTGAAGTATTTTGCGTAGACAACTGTTAATAAACACCTGTATTTTCTGGATGATGGCTTTCGTAGTTGCCCAAGTTTCCGCCCCATGCAGCAGAACTCTCTTGACATTTGTATTGAAAATTTAGACCTTAGTGTTGGCTTGAGGGCAGTTGTTTTGAGTTTCAGACGTTCTTCAGTTGTAAATATGCTGCTCTTGCTTTTCCGATTTGCGCCTTCACATCTACATCAGATCCGCCGTGCTTATTGAAGATTCTGCCCAAATATGTAAAGGTTTTTACATCTTCCAAATCTTCTTCATAAATTGTGGTTGGATTAGTGCATGCTGTGTTGTATCGGAGAATCTTGATTTTACCTTTGTGTATATTGAGACCTACTGCTGCTCAGGCTGCTGCTATACTGGTCGTCTTCTCCTAAACTCGTTGTTGCGATTGCGATAGAAGAGCCAGATCATTTGCAAAGTTTAGATCGTCCAACTGCATCCTAGATGTCCACTGTATCCCGCGTTTCTCTTCAGATGTTGATGTCTTCATGATCTAACCGATCACCAGGAGAAAGAGAACTCCGCCTGGAGTTCCTCCGGGATATACCGACGGTCCTAATCCAGGAGAAAGGATGAATGCTGAGTGTGGGTTTAGCGACCTCATCCAGTAGAAAACTAACTCGCTAAATAAACGCTGACCAGAAAAACTGTCCATAAATAATGCTACTTTATATTTAGCAATTCGCGTCTATCTGATAAGCTGAACTTGGAAGGAGTTCAATGATATTTCACAGTAAAATACAATATATTTAAACGCTACATTCTAGGACTCACACTCCTAAGAAAAATAGGGCTTAGAACACAGCTGATGGGTTAGGTTTTTTAGTATATGTAACTTTCTCATAGTCAAACTTAATACCTGTATGTTTGGTCTAAGTAACCCTACTCTTACGATCAGAAACTTGCTCGTCAGGCAGCGGTATAATTACGGATCGATACTATCATTATACCTAGATTATGTAGTTTAAATCAGATTTAGGTAAACAAATGAACACAAACAGATGTCTTACAAAATTGTCTCTCAACATATCACTTGCTTTATATGTGATTCGAATCTCCCACTGACATAACATTTGATAACTCATATTAACGAATGGTTAATATGAACTCTTTATCGATGAAATTCTATCGAGTATAAATATTGCCCTAAATGTAATACATTTATATGGAGAATAAATAGTTAGTCAAACCATGTAAGGACTAGATAGACAGTGCATTTGAAAAAGTCCTCAATAATCTAAATCACCGACGAAACGCAATCAAGAATTAAATTCTGAAGTAGGCAGAATCTAATTGCATTGTATTATTATGACAGAATAAAGCATAACTTAAAACATTGTATGATAACTGTAAAAACGATCAACAACAATAGATATGATAAAGCTTTAGTATATCACCACGATGGTGACTGAGAAGTGATATGAAGTCGGGAAAATCTTTACAAATGACAAAATATGATTTTGAATTTATGCATACCAGAATTATTTTGTTACGCTGAAGACCACTAAACGTTTGTATTTTGTTACTCAGTTAGTTCACTAAGGCCGAATCTATCAGTAATGTTTTTATTATTCACTGGGTTCTACCTCCCATTTTGTTATTTTTCCATTTACTTCGTAAATTAGTGTCAAATATTAAAGTTTTATAGTCATTAAGAATTTTACATTATTTAGGTAGAGCTCTATGCAACTATCTGTTACAAACATGTTCGGCACCTCACAGTCAAAAGATAACAAACGAGAAATACAAATATATGTCAGAGGAAATCATTGATGGCAATTAGTTTTTAATATGAAGTATTTACTGATTTAATGATCGCCAAATGAACTTAAGTACGGGATATGATACACCTCTTAAGCATAAGAAACATCTAAGAAATATTATTTGATTTTAAAACATTTAGAATTAAAATCACTATTCAGAACATTTTGGTTGAGAAATAAGATACAAATTCATGTTTTATGCAGAAGAAAATCTATACAAATAATCTTTTTTCTGTGTCAACAATAAAGCATATTCATTTAGATGTTTTCTTAAAATGCAAACAATTCATTCCTTTAGATTGATCACATTTAGACTGAATTCATTACTAATGTGTTACGAAACTTAAATGTAAGTGTTCGTTTTTCAGCACATAAACACCAAATATGTTTGTGATTTAAATTAAAAAGATTTATACATAGTTTACTATGATTAGAATAGTTAAAGTATTACATTGTTTCTTACTGATTTATGTTGTAATGACGACAGTATTGTTGAACTGATTAAATAGAAGGAAATATGTGCATAAGGTATGAAGATTTGAATTTTAAAAAATCAAGAACTCATTCTACCCGATGATTCAACCCACAATTTAAGATTAAATAATCATGTGTTAATTGTTTAAGTGATTATGAATGCCACACAGATCTCATAAACATCACGCTTACATCATTTGTTTACATCTTCACATTAATAAGCTCAAGAGAGATTTTGCGTTATAATTACTATGAACGGTTTTCTTATTATTGTTAGTCAAAATACAAGCGTTGACTATACTTTTGTATTGAATTAGATTTCATTAGAATTAGATAAAAATAAGAATGTCATCAAATGATCTCAGTAATAACTCTAGTAGAAACAAAGAAACGAAACGAATTGAAAATTTTGTTAGATGTCTATTATGATGGACTTCGTAACATATACACTGAATTTACATTTGAAATGAAAAACCTAGTGCATTTGAACATATTGAAAAGATTTCAAATACCACCAAAATAAGATGTTTCTCATCAAAACCCGTTTACTTTTACAATGTCTTATTATTCCATACATTAAACATCCTTCAAATTCTCCAATTCATTAAATTCTTAATAAATAATTAATTAATTCTTAATGATTCACCTTTTGAAAAAGATAACACCAGCTTTTGAAGTTAGTTCTGTGATTTAGAAATCTTCGGAATAAAAGGTACTGATAGGATTTCTGTCTTCTTTGTACAGTACAGTAGTTAACCAATTAACGCTAATCCGTAGCTTATCGGGATGCTCATCAATAACGATTGCATTTGATCGATAATTTGCTTCAAATTTCAGCTTCAAATCATCTGTAAAAAATTAAACAACTACTGAAATTAGAATGATTAGCTAACTATTAGTTTTTAAATAACTTTGATCCAATGATAGTTTAATAATATATTTGGAAACGGCCCTTAAACCCTCAAGGTCATTGTGACATATATATAAGACCAATTAGACCATTCTAATAAATTATTCATGGTAAAGTGTAACCATTTCTAGTTGTCTCATTTAACTTAAACATCTAATATATACCATATTTATCTTCACTCCCATCAGTGATTATAAAGTTACTTGTACATAATCTATACGCCCATAATATCGAATCGTAGATTCAGATCACTAAAATTTAGTGTTTCACAAAATATCCTAAAAATTGAATTTTAGATAATGTCAGAAAAAACACTTAGCAATAAATTACTGAATACATGTTTCTCATTTAATTTACTATTCGCTGTCAATCACTAACCTATTATATTATCCTTGTGGTTTTAAACGGAAATTTTATTCACTTCGGTGAGATCGACAAGATCTTCAAAGCAACATAAACTTCTTGGAGACTTCATGAACGTTCCAGTTGATGCACTCTTACGTTTGTCATGGATAATGATATTATTATCAAAATTCCTCTATTCAGAAACTCATGCAAAAGTCACTATTGACGATGATACTGGTTACTTTGTTGACTCACAAGGATTTGTTAAATTATTTCATGGAATCAACTGTGTGCATAAAGTCGCACCATTTTACTTTCCAAAACTACTTGACCCTCATTCATTCAAAGTACTTAGAGATTGGGGAATTAATGCTATACGCTTAGAATTCAACTGGATAGCATTAAAACCAGAGGAAAATAAAATCAGTCGAGAGTACTTAGATATCATTGAAACAATTATCGACAATGCTGGATCATATGGAGTTTATATTATCATTGATTTTCATCAAGATGGATTATCGAAACGTCTAGGTGCAATTGATGCTGTGCCTAATTGGTTTATGGATAAAATAAAGCGACCACCATATTTATTCCAATACCCTTGGCCACTAACGAAAGATCCAAGTAAAAGCAACTGGTTTCTAACGTACGCCACATATGAGAGTGCACATGTATTTGAAAGTATATATAAAAATGTTTCAGGAATATGGGATTATTTTGCAGAATATTGGAGGATAACAACTAGTCGTTTCGGGAAGAAAGATAATGTTTTAGGTTATAATTTGATAAATGAACCACCACCTGGAAATTTTTATTTAAATCCATTCTTTCTTTTGCCTGGTAAGTGACAAGTATACAAGATTTTAGTATATTATTTTTGAACATTTTTTATCACATTGCTTTATTCATTATTTCATGTCTTTTGACTTCACTTAAAATTTTCTTTTCACTTGCAAAGAATTCATTCAAATCAATTGATTATGAAGTCGTTTGATGTTTATTATTTTCTAAATGAACCAGGTTTTGACTTGTCTGCTCCTTATCAGCCTTTCCACTAAAATTATCATCTCAAATCTCAATGAAAATAAGTATCGTCAACACGCACTTCAGTGTGCATATTTTCACTTTTAGAAGTGCAAATCTTTTTGTGATAAACTAATACAGAAATATGTTTCAAGAGTATTGTGGTAACTTCATGTCGTATCACCTTTGCAATTAGTTTACATTACAAGATCGGTATGTCATTTAAATAGTTTACATATTTATTTTACATCAAGGTCAATTTAATAAATATTGTTAAATATTATTTTTACTAAGTGTAATTTTTCTGCAGGAATCAGTAATCACTTTTCTTAATGTATTTTAAGGAATGAAAGTAGCTCAAAGTATTCAATTAGTCAGATGGTTTTCAATCCACTCTCTTTGTTGAAATATTGCTGAGATAGTTAATGTTAGAAGTAACTGAGTTCTCACTATTTATTTTCTATGAATCCTTCGCCTAAGTCAAATGTTCAGGTTTTAGCTAAATTATGGAGTGAAACGTTATTCAGAAAAGTTAACGTTTAATTATAACAATTATTTACAACATATTTTTAACTTGGATTTTAGTAATAAGACAAAAATTCAGCAACAGTCATACCCATTAAAATTGTTGGAATGTGATTAAGGTTTTATTAAAAATAAAGTCATTCAAAACTAATTAAGATGACTTTGGAAGTAAAAGATAGACCATTTTCCCTACATTCAGCGTAAGCATATATCGGTTTTACAGGCTAACCCTTAGAGTTAATAATTGATTTGGTTTTGACACAATCGCAACTTACGTGCGATTGAGTTCGTTCACATTTAATTCGGTTAAGCCCTTTTGTTAGCTTATTTAACTGGCAGAGGCATTCGTACAATAACAACTTATCTATGTACCCGACCGTAGCTGCTACCTTGACGCGGTGGTCGGTCTTTCCTATCGTGATGACCCAACCGAGCTATATTGGCTGGAGCTTATGTTCCTGTAGGTTCTACCATGCCAGAAAGGTTGATTGGAGAACGGTAAGATTAAAAACAGCAACTCGAGGTCCGAGGTCAAAGTCGTACTGCTGACTGCAGAGAGGTGTGACAGCGGTAAGGATTTTCCCTCGGACAACCAGCATCTACAGCGATGCTGCCTTCTCACAAGGAAGGAAGGGGTTAGAAAAGGTCAACCCTAAAAATGTCACACTTCATCTTACATCACGGATTTCCGTCTCCGGTTGGAAGGCACGTCGAAGAACGGAGCCAACAAATTAAAAACCTCCCATGAAAAGGCCATGCGCGACCGGCCTCAAGCAGTTGTCCCTTGGGCTCTGCGGTCACACTCTCAGGTAGTGAATACCAACACTAATCCAATTTCTTTTTCAGGTTCCTCAAGAAATGCCCTTCTGCAGTGTGGGCAGCCGGAAAGTGACATCAGCCCTCATACCCGTAGCAGCACACGAGACCAAGTTGGTCACATTCAAATCCTTCCTACATCTCCTAATACCTCTCATATCTCCACGACTAACCCTCCTTACGTCCCTTCATCTACTCGCACCGCTAGGGCAAACGATTTGAGTACGCGGAACGCTATTCCTGGTCTCCTGAAACCACGCTCTAAACTACACATAGGAGCTTTTAACGTCCGAACACTGTGCCAAATAGGAGAACAGGCTTCCCTAGCTAAGACTTTAAAATCTCGCACCAGTGATGTGTGCTGCGTCTCTGAAACGCTCATACAGAATCCGAGTAGCGTCATTCATTTGACCTCACCATGTTAAAATAAAGAACCAACTCGATTCACACTTCGTGTATCTGGAAGTTCTGATGCTGATTCCCCTGGTTTCGATGGCGTATGTATAGCATCGAGTCTTAGGGCAGAACTAGCTCTCTTAGATTGGATCCCAGTAGACAGTCGTTTGTGCGCTGTCCGACCAAACGGAACAGTAAGAACTCGGAAAGATAGGGACACCCGTCGTTGCCTCTTCGTCGTTTCTGCCTATTCTCCCACTGGCTGCAGCTCAGATGATGTAAAAGATGAGTTTTACAGAAAGCTTTCCAACCTTCTTCAAAAAGCTAGGCGCTCTGATGTAGTAATAGTGGCTGGTGACTTTAATGCTCAAGTAGATAATCTAAGCAAAAAGGAAAGACACCCGGGTGGATCTTATAGTGTTGTGGCTCAAACAACAGAAGATGACGACCGTCTAGTGCACCTATGCTCGGATAACCGCCTATTTCTTGCAAATACTAACTTTAAGCATAAGCAAAAACATCTTTTACATGGTGACCCCCTAATTCGTCCCAACTTTGGACCCAAATAGATCACATAGCTATCAGCCACCGATAAAGGGGCTCGATAGAAGACTGTCGCTCATTCTGGAGCACATGCTTTGATTCAGATCACGCTCTAGTGCGAGCACGTATTTGTCTAAGTTTTACTGGACGTAAGAAAGCCGCTGCAAGGAAACCTCTTAAGGCTTTACCAAATGATAGTCAAACTAAGAGTATATTTCAGGAACAACTAGAAAAACAGTTAGGCAGCCATGTATGTGATGCCCACCCCGAGGCAGCATGGAATGATATCCGAAAAGCTGTGGAAACAGCAGTGATCTCTGTTTGTACAGTAAACCACAAGGTTAGGGAAAAACACTGGATCTCAGCAGCATCTACCGCATTGACAGATGCTCGAAAACTCATCCCATCTGACTCTGAACATAACGAAGAGCGGAGTCAGCTTAAGCGCAAGCTGACAAGAAGCCCACGCAATGATCGTGAATAGTGGTGGGTAGCGAAAGCAAGAGATGGAAAAGGCAGCGGCAATGGGTAATAGCAGACAATTGTTCAGACTTGTTATCAGGGCTGTCCACTTTCTCCATTCTTGTTTAACCTTGTCGTTGACGTCCTTTTAGAGATGACACTTTCCTCATCTAAATTTGCAGGGGTTGAACTTCTACCAGGAGATTCACTTTTTGACTTGAAATATGCCGATGACATAGTTCTATTTGGCGAAGACGTTGACAAAATGCAGAGTCTTCTGACCACTCTAAGCAACAATGCAAACATGTTCGACATGCAATTCTCTCCCTCGAAATGTAAAATGTTGCTTCAGGATTAGGTGATATCGACACCCGAACTAATGGTAGGGAGTGAAGTAGTTGAGCTTATCGACCTATTCACTTATCTTGGAAATCTCATCAGCCCTTGTGGTCTGGTGTGTGACGAAATCTCAGCACGGATACAAAATGCTCGATTAACTTTTGCCAAATTGTGTCATTTATGGCGTGGACGAGATATTCGTTTATCAACCAAAGGACGTGTTTACTGCGCAGCAGTTCTTTCCGTCCTACTTTATGGCAGTGAATCATGGTCGGTAAGAGTAGAGGATATTCGTAGGTTACTAGTATTTGAAGCATTGCTCGTATATCCTGAGATCATCGTGTAAGTTATGCAGTTGTTAGGAAACAGGTACCGGGTAAGGATGGCAAATCAATTGATGCAGTAGTGAAACTTCATCAGCTGAGATGGCTGGGACACATGTTACGTATGCTCAACCACCGACTGCGATGTTTAGTGGTATAGGAGTAGGTTGGAATAAAGCTAGGGGCGGCCAGACCAAAACATGGCACAAATCCATGAAGTCACTGACAAGTGGTCTGAGTCATGTTGGTAGGTGTTGACTACCTGGTTGGGAACCGCGAGATGATAGCAACCGATGGTTAGAGACCCTGAATGACATGGCTCAAAATCGTTTGCTATGGCACAGGTGCATACACTCTTTGTGTTCTCCCAAATTCTAATCTTCTGAATTCTTCACGTCCCCGCTTTTTTCTATTTCCATATTTATTTCACTGTATTATACTCCTTGAATAACATTTTCAAACCTTAATCCTTCCCATTACTGCTTATACTCTTACCTACCTCTACCACCATGGGATTTGAATCGACAAATGCATCTCTGTGCTAATGTAGTGTGACAATTCGGGCTGATGTACGTACGTACGAAGTTCTAAGCTGTTACTTACTGACTGATCTTTATTATTGTTGTGCTTGTATGAAATATATATGCTTGAACATTGCTTACTACCTAAGCATATATTCATTCTGCTAGTTTCACTATTAACTGCTTAATTGATTCGATGATCTACTCATTTCTCGACTCGCTGACTCACTCATTCGTCTCTCCGCTTTGTGGTCTGAGCTATCTACTAATAAACTGTAGTTACGAGGGTGATTGGTTACCGAAGCACAGACACTACAAACCACTAAACTCACATTGGTCAGTGAAGTTGATTCTGTATAAATACTTCTCATAACAGTCAACTTGATGCATTAGGATAGTGTATTCTGAGTTTAAACGTTCACGTGGAATAAATATTCTTCGTTCTCTTTGACCTCACCAAGAATGTGAGTTACGTATTGTGGTTTGGGGATCGTTAAATCATAGACAATTGTGACATTTGAAACACTCGAAGCAAGTATACAGGAATTAAAGTTAACTCGGACTTCATTGTAGCCTCCAAATTCAGTACATTTTAGATAACTGAGTTCAGCAGTTCAAGAATGAGATTCGTTTTTGCAAATATATCTGAACTAATTTTCATTTATTACTTTGACATCTATCCAAGCTAACAGTTTCCAGTTAGTTTTTGTTTGAAGCAAGTCTCACTTGTTCATTTATCGAAATAAACATCGTGAATTAATAATCTAATCCAGAACACATTGAAACATGACTCAATAGGAGTTGTGACTGAGTTATTTTCGGATTAGTATATTATCTTTATGGTATCTGTAACGAGAACTCAACATATATAGCGGCTTTTGAGTTACAATATCCTAGCCAGATATAAAAAGTCGATTCAAACACATATTTATGTTAGTTTCAAAAGAAATTTGCTGATTGATACAAATATATAAAACGACCAGTTTTACTTCATCTTGTCTTGAGTTTCACGTCGCTTTGTTCTTGACATTGTTCGGATGTGAAAATATCTCTCATATTTTGCAACATGCCATTGTGACAATATCGTACTAACAAACAAAATTATCAGTTTAGAGTTGTGGAAACTGTCGAGTTTCTATTGAAAACCTCGAAATACTGGATGGCCATCTCGTCTTAAAACGTGATTTCTCAACAGTGAGCGTCACACTTGCAGGACCATGGATGCTCACTGCTGATAAGTCAAATTTCAAGACTGAACAGTCATCCAGTGCTTCCAGGTAACAAATGGTGATCTGGCATTGATCGGTTCATCACCTCAATAAAAATGAAATCGCAAAACATAATTATGCAATTTGAACTTGTGATTGATAATAAGCAGCTATCACATAACTCATACGTTTCGTACGAATTGACAGTATTTGAGTAGTTCTAATGGCAATCAGATTCCAGAAGCAAGTGATCAATCGTATATATGGTTATCAATAGAATATTTACTAAAGCAACTAAACGAACGTCTTATCAGTTTTAACCTGATTCAATCAGAAATAGCATATGGCGACTGCAGTATTGAATAACATATATCTGAATATTAGAAAGATGACAGGCATAAAATATATATTATCATAATGACAAATAATATCAACAGGTGAACTAGCGACAAACAAAACGATTTGGCTATTATCTTTAGCTATTCAATATTTTGTTGGTGATAATCTAGGACACATAAATAAATGGGCAAAAAATGATAGTAATATTGATCATAATGACAATCGTAGTAAGAATGAAAAGATGTTATGTAGAACTATGCTACTTGTTTATGATTTCAGTCATTGTGATTTTGGAATTCACCATCTTCATCATTACGATTATCACTCATTCTGACTGTTTTTCCACCGTCAATGTAATCAACAAAACAGACATTGAGATAAGATCCGCCAAAATTAATTGACTTACTCATTAACCTATACTATGCATGATGTCATGTTGGGTGATTGATTTGTTCACATCGTTTGATCTCAGAAGAAGACTTACAAATGAGGAACATTTTGTACTCATTAGAAGAGAATTGATTTCCCTGTTATTGATATTCCTAACTTGGATACAAACACGAGGGCTTAGACGTAAGATGACCCATTTAATAAATCCCAAATAAAACTGAAAGTGTCGTGAATTTCATTATCTACCACAATCTATCTTCCCGAAAACATTCTGTCCATAACAGATATGTTTATTTTTGTCAACTTTCGCTTATATTCATTCTCATAATCTATTTCGATTCTTACATTTCCGATCGTTTTCATTTTATATTCGGACAGATAATTCAGGTCACAATCTCTTATCATTTTATGATTACTTGGTGAATGTTATTCGCCAAAAGGACAAGAATACATTGATATTTTACGAGAGTGTAACTTATGGAATATATTTTCCATTTGTTAATGGAATACCTGGTACTGGTATCCAACGTGTTCCCGGCCTATTACAAGATGAGATGGCCAGAAAGAAGAGTGTATTATCTTATCATTACTACTGTTGGTTATTGGAATCGACACCATCTACAGAGAATATGCCATCATGGAAACGATATTTGTGTGATAAAGTGAGAGTTCGATTAACTGGTTTATTGTTTGTAACGCATATGCATTCCAATGTCTCGATGCTTTAATATCAACATTAACCAACTGATATTTTTTAGCATAAGCTAACTGGCTTTCATTTTATTCGTAACTTGATTATCAGACTTGACTGGAAAATTTTGAAATCTTTTGTCACTTTTCATAATCTTTTCTAAATAAATAAATGATTGAATCTATATTGAGAACAGCTTCATTCAATTAAGTTAAACGTCGAAGGACCGCTGGCCGAATGTATTTTCATAATAAAATGCTATTTACACTTTACACCATATCCTGACGTTAACCAGACAACTATTCACTACTCTGTAGGGAGTGCTTACAACCCTACCAAAACTCAGACCTAGAGCTCTAATATGTCTTAGCGAGTGAGTTTTCAGATCAGCACTTGAGCACTCGATAATCGACATTTTAGCTTCAGTTAGCTGAATTCCTTGCGTTATTGTCAAGTTTAAAACTTAATTATGTGAACAAATTTCATATAGTAAGAACGCCATTGATTATTGGATGTGAGTTAAACAACATAGAATCTTCGATATTGTGTTAAGTTTTTGCAAACATCAATCATGTGAAAGTAGGCTTTAGCTTCAGTAATTGATACCTCTCTTCAAAATATTATAAAAATGAAACATTAGATCTGCTGAGATTTTACTCTTGATCGCCTCATTATTAGATATAAGCCTTTCTTAATATCTCAATTGATTTTGATCATGATATTAAAATGATTGATTGACCACTCGAATCCTTTAGACCATGAACATTTGTTTAGTCGTAATTCTGAGGTACTTCACAATGTTAATCTCTGAGAGGTTTATTATTGCTATTGAGTTACTCGTTGAATTATCAAAAGAGTTATCTGTTGGTTTTGGTTTGTTAGTCCTTGACAGAAATTTCGAAGCGAAATTATCTCTCATCTATGTAAACGTATGGAGTTATTATCGCACATGTTTTCATTTATAAAGCTGATCATTTTCAATACGCTCATTAGATATTTAAATGTTGACTAGAAAAATAAATTTGAGTGAACTCAGGCAAGTACTTGTAGCTCATTTTTGTTTCCGAAACCACGTAACACACTAAGAAATGTCGCTAGATTTGAATTAGAAATTGTTAAGCCATATCAACGTTGAGATATTTGTCATCTATGACATTGCACGATCATCGAGCGCCATCGTGAATTGGCTTAACAATAATATTTGATGAGTTATATTTTATCTCAGAGGTCTAAATTTTCATTTCCTACCTTCAGGAATGAATGTTTGTACTCCAACATTTGTCGTAATCGTGGGTGATTACTTCTGAGGTGTTCCGCTGTAGGACAATGATTCATAAAAATATTTATTGTTTTATTTAATACATTCACTGTTGCTAATTTACTGTGAAAACCGATCCGCTAGCAGAGTATAGATTGGATACCAAACGTAGAAATGATATTAATAATAATTAAAATAATAATTATAATGAAAACAACAAAACATTCATATATTACAGAGTTTATTTACTTAGAATTAATTGAAAACCATCCATAAACTAGCTCATATTTAGCAATTACCAATCACCAATTCATTTATTTTCACCATGGAAATACTCTAAGTAAACAATATGATGATGAATAAGTTTGCAAAATAGTTAGAACGATTGTGTACTTTGTAATTGATTAAAACAAGTTAAATACGATGAGATATTTCTACATTCCTTCTATAAAGTAATAGCATTTATATTCTATGAATCATCCTGACTAGCGAAATATATAGTAATGGGTGTGTCTGAAGTTGGGCGTAGATGAATAAACAACAATGACGAATAATGATAAGTATGGATTCTATCATCTAAGTATTTTTGAGATGTAGTGAATTAGCCAAAACCACCTATAAACTAACAGTAGAAGTGTAAATAGAATTATTGGATTAATATGTATTTTGTGTTATCTTTCAAAGTAAAATTAGTTATTTTGTAGCTATGATTAAACTCAGGTATTTATTGAAACCCATTCATAAACACCATAGGATTTTGCGCACAAATGTACACATGTTCTGTGTTGATACAACCTCCAGTTTATGAAGTAAAGTGAAATTCTAATCTGATTATTACATCGATAAATACAAGGGGAAGTGCAATTCTATTCTGTTATTCGCACCAACTTGTATGACATTGATTGTAAAAATAAAATTGATAAACACGTTATTTTGTTTGATCGAGCACCCATTCGGGGTCTGCACATACTGAATGTATGATGTTAGGCAAAACAGTGAATATTTCTTTTAAAACACAAATGGTAGTTACAATTGATATGGATAAATGTTTAATTTGTCCTTAATAAGTGGTGAACTGGTTGGGTTGAACAAAACACCAGAAAACAAACTGAACTTAATTAAAGTACTGTAGAGTAATCTAGGAACGAAAATATAAACATTATGATTTGACATGAAAACTGTAATTAATATTAATAGGTGCAAATCAATTTATAAAATAAAAGTTTGATGATTGAATGAACTGACATGATGTGATTTCATGAATACACTAACAATCAATGTATTCAAACCGTCCTTCATACTGTGTGGAATTTCATAACTAATTTCATTCTTCATATATTTGTGGTGATTGCTGAATTACTAAGTTTGAATGGACTGAAAAGCTTCATAGGTTTTAGCGAAACGGAACATTAGTGGAAGGTTTTGTGCATGAATAGAAAGGGATTTATCTGGATTTCCATTAACATAGTGGTGAATAATAGTAACACGAAAGGAGTGAGTGATGCTGAATTCGTGTTGTTGTTTGCATGGACTATGAACTAATACAGACAATTTGTAGAATTTATCATTACACATAAAAATCTTTAATTACGTCAAACATAACAGCAAAAAATATTATTCATATCAATGTGAGAAAGTGGTTTGAGTGGATTAAATCAATACGTGAATTCTGACACAATCATGTGATCCATTCCGTCATTTGTGATACTCGTAATTGAATAACAAGTTACTGATATCGCGTCACATCAACTAAGAATTATAATCTTCGAGTTTTCCTCACAAATTGAAATCAGTTACAGAAATATTGTTCAGGTCCAACGATTGATAACCCATGAACATTTCCAAGGAACTTATATGGTTAATCATATGGGCTTATGTAGAATTTCTGGTAAATGTGATATTTAGCCAGACAAACGTAATGGTCATTCCCTGACGAGATGTCACTTTCTGGTATCAGTTCATTTCCACCCTACTGAATTGACAATTAGGAGTTATGTGAATTCTTACTTATGAATTGTCAAGAAACGACTGGTTTTGTAATTTGTAGGATTGCCTAATTTCCCTACCAGCCACGTTGTAATCAAACCACATAATTCGAGATTACTCAATTTTTATGCCTTTCCTCCTCACTCGGTCAAGTAAAAATTCGTGAACATGAATATAATGATAACCATTGGAAATTGGAGAACATTGAACGTCCAATGTTGTGCAATTTGTTACAACTCAGTCATAAATGTAATCAGTGATAAGTCAATGAACAAAATGATTAATGTTTTATCGCTTTGACTCAGTGTATGCAGTTTATTGTAGTCTAGTTTTATTGCAATAATCATTCACATACTTAATCAATGTTAACATTGATATTGCTTGTGTGTAGCTTCTCTTGAATTATGCATTCAATAACGTGAGGAGTATAGTTAAATATACTGGTGGAGGACGATTTTTAACAGAATTCGGTCTGTGTCTTCCTGATGGCAATCCAGATTCAATAAATACGGTTGAATGTAACGCTGTGATGAATGCAGCCGACAGGAACTTCGAATCCTGGACTTATTGGGACGGAAATGAATTATTTCCCAACTTAATTGTAGACAACATTTCCGTAGGTCTTATTATTGATAAAAACTTTTTTTCGATTTGTGTCAATTTTTATTGGAGTCATTTTGTTCTGCACGCCGAACGAATTTATAATTTTCACTTTGGACAGTACCATCAGTATAAATTTAGGAAATAAATAGTATTTCTCATACTCGTATTGTCGTAGGCGAGAACTCAGGTGGGGAAATCCAATTTGTTGTTTAGTGCACAATCACACAGTGGCTTTGCAAAATATAGGAATCACACATATATAACATTTACACATCTTTGCGTTGTCCTTTACATAATCCATTATTCTGTTGTTATTTCATTTCCTCTCTGATTTCTTTTCTGTTCTCTTCATTTCAATCTCCTGCTTTCGGTATTCTATTTCCGATTGTTCCTACATATTTATCTAAACTGTCAGCATACTAAGCATACACCAGATTCTTCCCCTCGCCCTTTAAACGGTCGCTCCTGCAGATTTTTCGCATGCCGTGAGGCTTTCTTCTTAAACCGGATGTCCCACTTCCTATCCCCATCAACAGCGTCTAGTACACCCAACACCACACCGCCAGAACACTCCTCTTGATATTTTCACATCTTTCAAGATATTTTGACCAAACTATAGGAATATTACATAATAAAATTTGAATCAATAATGTATTACACCTAGACTAAAATAAGCTGCATGCATTACGTCTAACCAATAACACATTAATCATTTTGTTCATTTACCAATCACATATTATATTTATGACTGAATCGTAAGAAATTTTGAATAAGCAGACGTTCAATGTTCTCCAATTTCCAGTTATTATCATTACATTTTCGTTCAAGTGATTATGACGTACAGTTGAAATATTTAGAAAATTTCAAATACCACTAAGATAACATGTTTTTTATCAAAACACATTTTCGTTTCCAATGCCTTAATATTCTATATATTTGACATGTTTCAAATTTCTCTATTCATCAAATTCTCAATTGGTAATGTGGTCTTCTGTAGATGTGATCATAAAATAGTCACGTATTTTCTATAAAACATAAAAGTCTGTATATACTGTTGTTCCAAAAAATGCATATGTGTTAATGATATTTGTTAATCAACGACTAGATTGATAAGTTAAATTCCTTATCAAGTCGTAACACAAGATTCAGTTCATAAGTTTTTTATTGTTATATAAATATAAGACGTGGTTATATTTCTTCTCATAAGCACTTGATTCATCCAAACAGCAAGAATATAGCTACGCATACAATACCCGCCTATTGCCACTCGTAACTCACGGTAGAAGATGAAATTAACTGTTCACTGTACTGAAGTATCAAATCACTCAACTGATATACGCGCAAAATCGAAGTCCGCGAATCAAAGATTTATCAGAGATAGTGGTACTTTATTGAATAATGTGCAAACATTAGTTACACACCTCAACTTGTGAGGTGTCTGGGGCGTTTACCACGTCCTGTTGTCTGAAATAAGAAGGCTTTGATAGTGCGAAAGTGACAGCCGTTGGCTGTGTCAAAACTTCATAACGGTTTATTAACAAGCAGAAATGGAGCTAAAAGCAAGTAATATGGAAACGGTTGCGTTTAAACATGGGTTAAACGACTGCGAAAAATTGCGAACAACTGATACAATGATTGATATAAAGTAATTATAATGATAAATACAATAAATGTTAGAAGAATCTGTAAATATTTCAGAGTATTACACGACCAACTTGCGTTACAACATAAGCGTAGAAATTGCTAGGAATATTTCTGTTTACTAAATATTAATAAGTACTGAAAAATATTACCTAAAAGAGTCGAAATGAGATGAAGTTAATAAGGTCAGAGAACGTAAGACAGAATTAACAGTAACGGTTTATTCGAAGTGAACATACTTCTTATTTTTTGGCTTAGATACGATAGAATGATTCACCTATTGAAAAAGATAACACCAGCTTTTGAAGTTAGTTCTGTGATTTAGAAATCTTCGGAATAAAAGGTACTGATAGGATTTCTGTCTTCTTTGTACAGTACAGTAGTTAACCAATTAACGCTAATCCGTAGCTTATCGGGATGCTCATCAATAACGATTGCATTTGATCGATAATTTGCTTCAAATTTCAGCTTCAAATCATCTGTAAAAAATTAAACAACTACTGAAATTAGAATGATTAGCTAACTATTAGTTTTTAAATAACTTTGATCCAATGATAGTTTAATAATATATTTGGAAACGGCCCTTAAACCCTCAAGGTCATTGTGACATATATATAAGACCAATTAGACCATTCTAATAAATTATTCATGGTAAAGTGTAACCATTTCTAGTTGTCTCATTTAACTTAAACATCTAATATATACCATATTTATCTTCACTCCCATCAGTGATTATAAAGTTACTTGTACATAATCTATACGCCCATAATATCGAATCGTAGATTCAGATCACTAAAATTTAGTGTTTCACAAAATATCCTAAAAATTGAATTTTAGATAATGTCAGAAAAAACACTTAGCAATAAATTACTGAATACATGTTTCTCATTTAATTTACTATTCGCTGTCAATCACTAACCTATTATATTATCCTTGTGGTTTTAAACGGAAATTTTATTCACTTCGGTGAGATCGACAAGATCTTCAAAGCAACATAAACTTCTTGGAGACTTCATGAACGTTCCAGTTGATGCACTCTTACGTTTGTCATGGATAATGATATTATTATCAAAATTCCTCTATTCAGAAACTCATGCAAAAGTCACTATTGACGATGATACTGGTTACTTTGTTGACTCACAAGGATTTGTTAAATTATTTCATGGAATCAACTGTGTGCATAAAGTCGCACCATTTTACTTTCCAAAACTACTTGACCCTCATTCATTCAAAGTACTTAGAGATTGGGGAATTAATGCTATACGCTTAGAATTCAACTGGATAGCATTAAAACCAGAGGAAAATAAAATCAGTCGAGAGTACTTAGATATCATTGAAACAATTATCGACAATGCTGGATCATATGGAGTTTATATTATCATTGATTTTCATCAAGATGGATTATCGAAACGTCTAGGTGCAATTGATGCTGTGCCTAATTGGTTTATGGATAAAATAAAGCGACCACCATATTTATTCCAATACCCTTGGCCACTAACGAAAGATCCAAGTAAAAGCAACTGGTTTCTAACGTACGCCACATATGAGAGTGCACATGTATTTGAAAGTATATATAAAAATGTTTCAGGAATATGGGATTATTTTGCAGAATATTGGAGGATAACAACTAGTCGTTTCGGGAAGAAAGATAATGTTTTAGGTTATAATTTGATAAATGAACCACCACCTGGAAATTTTTATTTAAATCCATTCTTTCTTTTGCCTGGTAAGTGACAAGTATACAAGATTTTAGTATATTATTTTTGAACATTTTTTATCACATTGCTTTATTCATTATTTCATGTCTTTTGACTTCACTTAAAATTTTCTTTTCACTTGCAAAGAATTCATTCAAATCAATTGATTATGAAGTCGTTTGATGTTTATTATTTTCTAAATGAACCAGGTTTTGACTTGTCTGCTCCTTATCAGCCTTTCCACTAAAATTATCATCTCAAATCTCAATGAAAATAAGTATCGTCAACACGCACTTCAGTGTGCATATTTTCACTTTTAGAAGTGCAAATCTTTTTGTGATAAACTAATACAGAAATATGTTTCAAGAGTATTGTGGTAACTTCATGTCGTATCACCTTTGCAATTAGTTTACATTACAAGATCGGTATGTCATTTAAATAGTTTACATATTTATTTTACATCAAGGTCAATTTAATAAATATTGTTAAATATTATTTTTACTAAGTGTAATTTTTCTGCAGGAATCAGTAATCACTTTTCTTAATGTATTTTAAGGAATGAAAGTAGCTCAAAGTATTCAATTAGTCAGATGGTTTTCAATCCACTCTCTTTGTTGAAATATTGCTGAGATAGTTAATGTTAGAAGTAACTGAGTTCTCACTATTTATTTTCTATGAATCCTTCGCCTAAGTCAAATGTTCAGGTTTTAGCTAAATTATGGAGTGAAACGTTATTCAGAAAAGTTAACGTTTAATTATAACAATTATTTACAACATATTTTTAACTTGGATTTTAGTAATAAGACAAAAATTCAGCAACAGTCATACCCATTAAAATTGTTGGAATGTGATTAAGGTTTTATTAAAAATAAAGTCATTCAAAACTAATTAAGATGACTTTGGAAGTAAAAGATAGACCATTTTCCCTACATTCAGCGTAAGCATATATCGGTTTTACAGGCTAACCCTTAGAGTTAATAATTGATTTGGTTTTGACACAATCGCAACTTACGTGCGATTGAGTTCGTTCACATTTAATTCGGTTAAGCCCTTTTGTTAGCTTATTTAACTGGCAGAGGCATTCGTACAATAACAACTTATCTATGTACCCGACCGTAGCTGCTACCTTGACGCGGTGGTCGGTCTTTCCTATCGTGATGACCCAACCGAGCTATATTGGCTGGAGCTTATGTTCCTGTAGGTTCTACCATGCCAGAAAGGTTGATTGGAGAACGGTAAGATTAAAAACAGCAACTCGAGGTCCGAGGTCAAAGTCGTACTGCTGACTGCAGAGAGGTGTGACAGCGGTAAGGATTTTCCCTCGGACAACCAGCATCTACAGCGATGCTGCCTTCTCACAAGGAAGGAAGGGGTTAGAAAAGGTCAACCCTAAAAATGTCACACTTCATCTTACATCACGGATTTCCGTCTCCGGTTGGAAGGCACGTCGAAGAACGGAGCCAACAAATTAAAAACCTCCCATGAAAAGGCCATGCGCGACCGGCCTCAAGCAGTTGTCCCTTGGGCTCTGCGGTCACACTCTCAGGTAGTGAATACCAACACTAATCCAATTTCTTTTTCAGGTTCCTCAAGAAATGCCCTTCTGCAGTGTGGGCAGCCGGAAAGTGACATCAGCCCTCATACCCGTAGCAGCACACGAGACCAAGTTGGTCACATTCAAATCCTTCCTACATCTCCTAATACCTCTCATATCTCCACGACTAACCCTCCTTACGTCCCTTCATCTACTCGCACCGCTAGGGCAAACGATTTGAGTACGCGGAACGCTATTCCTGGTCTCCTGAAACCACGCTCTAAACTACACATAGGAGCTTTTAACGTCCGAACACTGTGCCAAATAGGAGAACAGGCTTCCCTAGCTAAGACTTTAAAATCTCGCACCAGTGATGTGTGCTGCGTCTCTGAAACGCTCATACAGAATCCGAGTAGCGTCATTCATTTGACCTCACCATGTTAAAATAAAGAACCAACTCGATTCACACTTCGTGTATCTGGAAGTTCTGATGCTGATTCCCCTGGTTTCGATGGCGTATGTATAGCATCGAGTCTTAGGGCAGAACTAGCTCTCTTAGATTGGATCCCAGTAGACAGTCGTTTGTGCGCTGTCCGACCAAACGGAACAGTAAGAACTCGGAAAGATAGGGACACCCGTCGTTGCCTCTTCGTCGTTTCTGCCTATTCTCCCACTGGCTGCAGCTCAGATGATGTAAAAGATGAGTTTTACAGAAAGCTTTCCAACCTTCTTCAAAAAGCTAGGCGCTCTGATGTAGTAATAGTGGCTGGTGACTTTAATGCTCAAGTAGATAATCTAAGCAAAAAGGAAAGACACCCGGGTGGATCTTATAGTGTTGTGGCTCAAACAACAGAAGATGACGACCGTCTAGTGCACCTATGCTCGGATAACCGCCTATTTCTTGCAAATACTAACTTTAAGCATAAGCAAAAACATCTTTTACATGGTGACCCCCTAATTCGTCCCAACTTTGGACCCAAATAGATCACATAGCTATCAGCCACCGATAAAGGGGCTCGATAGAAGACTGTCGCTCATTCTGGAGCACATGCTTTGATTCAGATCACGCTCTAGTGCGAGCACGTATTTGTCTAAGTTTTACTGGACGTAAGAAAGCCGCTGCAAGGAAACCTCTTAAGGCTTTACCAAATGATAGTCAAACTAAGAGTATATTTCAGGAACAACTAGAAAAACAGTTAGGCAGCCATGTATGTGATGCCCACCCCGAGGCAGCATGGAATGATATCCGAAAAGCTGTGGAAACAGCAGTGATCTCTGTTTGTACAGTAAACCACAAGGTTAGGGAAAAACACTGGATCTCAGCAGCATCTACCGCATTGACAGATGCTCGAAAACTCATCCCATCTGACTCTGAACATAACGAAGAGCGGAGTCAGCTTAAGCGCAAGCTGACAAGAAGCCCACGCAATGATCGTGAATAGTGGTGGGTAGCGAAAGCAAGAGATGGAAAAGGCAGCGGCAATGGGTAATAGCAGACAATTGTTCAGACTTGTTATCAGGGCTGTCCACTTTCTCCATTCTTGTTTAACCTTGTCGTTGACGTCCTTTTAGAGATGACACTTTCCTCATCTAAATTTGCAGGGGTTGAACTTCTACCAGGAGATTCACTTTTTGACTTGAAATATGCCGATGACATAGTTCTATTTGGCGAAGACATTGACAAAATGCAGAGTCTTCTGACCACTCTAAGCAACAATGCAAACATGTTCGACATGCAATTCTCTCCCTCGAAATGTAAAATGTTGCTTCAGGATTAGGTGATATCGACACCCGAACTAATGGTAGGGAGTGAAGTAGTTGAGCTTATCGACCTATTCACTTATCTTGGAAATCTCATCAGCCCTTGTGGTCTGGTGTGTGACGAAATCTCAGCACGGATACAAAATGCTCGATTAACTTTTGCCAAATTGTGTCATTTATGGCGTGGACGAGATATTCGTTTATCAACCAAAGGACGTGTTTACTGCGCAGCAGTTCTTTCCGTCCTACTTTATGGCAGTGAATCATGGTCGGTAAGAGTAGAGGATATTCGTAGGTTACTAGTATTTGAAGCATTGCTCGTATATCCTGAGATCATCGTGTAAGTTATGCAGTTGTTAGGAAACAGGTACCGGGTAAGGATGGCAAATCAATTGATGCAGTAGTGAAACTTCATCAGCTGAGATGGCTGGGACACATGTTACGTATGCTCAACCACCGACTGCGATGTTTAGTGGTATAGGAGTAGGTTGGAATAAAGCTAGGGGCGGCCAGACCAAAACATGGCACAAATCCATGAAGTCACTGACAAGTGGTCTGAGTCATGTTGGTAGGTGTTGACTACCTGGTTGGGAACCGCGAGATGATAGCAACCGATGGTTAGAGACCCTGAATGACATGGCTCAAAATCGTTTGCTATGGCACAGGTGCATACACTCTTTGTGTTCTCCCAAATTCTAATCTTCTGAATTCTTCACGTCCCCGCTTTTTTCTATTTCCATATTTATTTCACTGTATTATACTCCTTGAATAACATTTTCAAACCTTAATCCTTCCCATTACTGCTTATACTCTTACCTACCTCTACCACCATGGGATTTGAATCGACAAATGCATCTCTGTGCTAATGTAGTGTGACAATTCGGGCTGATGTACGTACGTACGAAGTTCTAAGCTGTTACTTACTGACTGATCTTTATTATTGTTGTGCTTGTATGAAATATATATGCTTGAACATTGCTTACTACCTAAGCATATATTCATTCTGCTAGTTTCACTATTAACTGCTTAATTGATTCGATGATCTACTCATTTCTCGACTCGCTGACTCACTCATTCGTCTCTCCGCTTTGTGGTCTGAGCTATCTACTAATAAACTGTAGTTACGAGGGTGATTGGTTACCGAAGCACAGACACTACAAACCACTAAACTCACATTGGTCAGTGAAGTTGATTCTGTATAAATACTTCTCATAACAGTCAACTTGATGCATTAGGATAGTGTATTCTGAGTTTAAACGTTCACGTGGAATAAATATTCTTCGTTCTCTTTGACCTCACCAAGAATGTGAGTTACGTATTGTGGTTTGGGGATCGTTAAATCATAGACAATTGTGACATTTGAAACACTCGAAGCAAGTATACAGGAATTAAAGTTAACTCGGACTTCATTGTAGCCTCCAAATTCAGTACATTTTAGATAACTGAGTTCAGCAGTTCAAGAATGAGATTCGTTTTTGCAAATATATCTGAACTAATTTTCATTTATTACTTTGACATCTATCCAAGCTAACAGTTTCCAGTTAGTTTTTGTTTGAAGCAAGTCTCACTTGTTCATTTATCGAAATAAACATCGTGAATTAATAATCTAATCCAGAACACATTGAAACATGACTCAATAGGAGTTGTGACTGAGTTATTTTCGGATTAGTATATTATCTTTATGGTATCTGTAACGAGAACTCAACATATATAGCGGCTTTTGAGTTACAATATCCTAGCCAGATATAAAAAGTCGATTCAAACACATATTTATGTTAGTTTCAAAAGAAATTTGCTGATTGATACAAATATATAAAACGACCAGTTTTACTTCATCTTGTCTTGAGTTTCACGTCGCTTTGTTCTTGACATTGTTCGGATGTGAAAATATCTCTCATATTTTGCAACATGCCATTGTGACAATATCGTACTAACAAACAAAATTATCAGTTTAGAGTTGTGGAAACTGTCGAGTTTCTATTGAAAACCTCGAAATACTGGATGGCCATCTCGTCTTAAAACGTGATTTCTCAACAGTGAGCGTCACACTTGCAGGACCATGGATGCTCACTGCTGATAAGTCAAATTTCAAGACTGAACAGTCATCCAGTGCTTCCAGGTAACAAATGGTGATCCGGCATTGATCGGTTCATCACCTCAATAAAAATGAAATCGCAAAACATAATTATGCAATTTGAACTTGTGATTGATAATAAGCAGCTATCACATAACTCATACGTTTCGTACGAATTGACAGTATTTGAGTAGTTCTAATGGCAATCAGATTCCAGAAGCAAGTGATCAATCGTATATATGGTTATCAATAGAATATTTACTAAAGCAACTAAACGAACGTCTTATCAGTTTTAACCTGATTCAATCAGAAATAGCATATGGCGACTGCAGTATTGAATAACATATATCTGAATATTAGAAAGATGACAGGCATAAAATATATATTATCATAATGACAAATAATATCAACAGGTGAACTAGCGACAAACAAAACGATTTGGCTATTATCTTTAGCTATTCAATATTTTGTTGGTGATAATCTAGGACACATAAATAAATGGGCAAAAAATGATAGTAATATTGATCATAATGACAATCGTAGTAAGAATGAAAAGATGTTATGTAGAACTATGCTACTTGTTTATGATTTCAGTCATTGTGATTTTGGAATTCACCATCTTCATCATTACGATTATCACTCATTCTGACTGTTTTTCCACCGTCAATGTAATCAACAAAACAGACATTGAGATAAGATCCGCCAAAATTAATTGACTTACTCATTAACCTATACTATGCATGATGTCATGTTGGGTGATTGATTTGTTCACATCGTTTGATCTCAGAAGAAGACTTACAAATGAGGAACATTTTGTACTCATTAGAAGAGAATTGATTTCCCTGTTATTGATATTCCTAACTTGGATACAAACACGAGGGCTTAGATGTAAGATGACCCATTTAATAAATCCCAAATAAAACTGAAAGTGTCGTGAATTTCATTATCTACCACAATCTATCTTCCCGAAAACATTCTGTCCATAACAGATATGTTTATTTTTGTCAACTTTCGCTTATATTCATTCTCATAATCTATTTCGATTCTTACATTTCCGATCGTTTTCATTTTATATTCGGACAGATAATTCAGGTCACAATCTCTTATCATTTTATGATTACTTGGTGAATGTTATTCGCCAAAAGGACAAGAATACATTGATATTTTACGAGAGTGTAACTTATGGAATATATTTTCCATTTGTTAATGGAATACCTGGTACTGGTATCCAACGTGTTCCCGGCCTATTACAAGATGAGATGGCCAGAAAGAAGAGTGTATTATCTTATCATTACTACTGTTGGTTATTGGAATCGACACCATCTACAGAGAATATGCCATCATGGAAACGATATTTGTGTGATAAAGTGAGAGTTCGATTAACTGGTTTATTGTTTGTAACGCATATGCATTCCAATGTCTCGATGCTTTAATATCAACATTAACCAACTGATATTTTTTAGCATAAGCTAACTGGCTTTCATTTTATTCGTAACTTGATTATCAGACTTGACTGGAAAATTTTGAAATCTTTTGTCACTTTTCATAATCTTTTCTAAATAAATAAATGATTGAATCTATATTGAGAACAGCTTCATTCAATTAAGTTAAACGTCGAAGGACCGCTGGCCGAATGTATTTTCATAATAAAATGCTATTTACACTTTACACCATATCCTGACGTTAACCAGACAACTATTCACTACTCTGTAGGGAGTGCTTACAACCCTACCAAAACTCAGACCTAGAGCTCTAATATGTCTTAGCGAGTGAGTTTTCAGATCAGCACTTGAGCACTCGATAATCGACATTTTAGCTTCAGTTAGCTGAATTCCTTGCGTTATTGTCAAGTTTAAAACTTAATTATGTGAACAAATTTCATATAGTAAGAACGCCATTGATTATTGGATGTGAGTTAAACAACATAGAATCTTCGATATTGTGTTAAGTTTTTGCAAACATCAATCATGTGAAAGTAGGCTTTAGCTTCAGTAATTGATACCTCTCTTCAAAATATTATAAAAATGAAACATTAGATCTGCTGAGATTTTACTCTTGATCGCCTCATTATTAGATATAAGCCTTTCTTAATATCTCAATTGATTTTGATCATGATATTAAAATGATTGATTGACCACTCGAATCCTTTAGACCATGAACATTTGTTTAGTCGTAATTCTGAGGTACTTCACAATGTTAATCTCTGAGAGGTTTATTATTGCTATTGAGTTACTCGTTGAATTATCAAAAGAGTTATCTGTTGGTTTTGGTTTGTTAGTCCTTGACAGAAATTTCGAAGCGAAATTATCTCTCATCTATGTAAACGTATGGAGTTATTATCGCACATGTTTTCATTTATAAAGCTGATCATTTTCAATACGCTCATTAGATATTTAAATGTTGACTAGAAAAATAAATTTGAGTGAACTCAGGCAAGTACTTGTAGCTCATTTTTGTTTCCGAAACCACGTAACACACTAAGAAATGTCGCTAGATTTGAATTAGAAATTGTTAAGCCATATCAACGTTGAGATATTTGTCATCTATGACATTGCACGATCATCGAGCGCCATCGTGAATTGGCTTAACAATAATATTTGATGAGTTATATTTTATCTCAGAGGTCTAAATTTTCATTTCCTACCTTCAGGAATGAATGTTTGTACTCCAACATTTGTCGTAATCGTGGGTGATTACTTCTGAGGTGTTCCGCTGTAGGACAATGATTCATAAAAATATTTATTGTTTTATTTAATACATTCACTGTTGCTAATTTACTGTGAAAACCGATCCGCTAGCAGAGTATAGATTGGATACCAAACGTAGAAATGATATTAATAATAATTAAAATAATAATTATAATGAAAACAACAAAACATTCATATATTACAGAGTTTATTTACTTAGAATTAATTGAAAACCATCCATAAACTAGCTCATATTTAGCAATTACCAATCACCAATTCATTTATTTTCACCATGGAAATACTCTAAGTAAACAATATGATGATGAATAAGTTTGCAAAATAGTTAGAACGATTGTGTACTTTGTAATTGATTAAAACAAGTTAAATACGATGAGATATTTCTACATTCCTTCTATAAAGTAATAGCATTTATATTCTATGAATCATCCTGACTAGCGAAATATATAGTAATGGGTGTGTCTGAAGTTGGGCGTAGATGAATAAACAACAATGACGAATAATGATAAGTATGGATTCTATCATCTAAGTATTTTTGAGATGTAGTGAATTAGCCAAAACCACCTATAAACTAACAGTAGAAGTGTAAATAGAATTATTGGATTAATATGTATTTTGTGTTATCTTTCAAAGTAAAATTAGTTATTTTGTAGCTATGATTAAACTCAGGTATTTATTGAAACCCATTCATAAACACCATAGGATTTTGCGCACAAATGTACACATGTTCTGTGTTGATACAACCTCCAGTTTATGAAGTAAAGTGAAATTCTAATCTGATTATTACATCGATAAATACAAGGGGAAGTGCAATTCTATTCTGTTATTCGCACCAACTTGTATGACATTGATTGTAAAAATAAAATTGATAAACACGTTATTTTGTTTGATCGAGCACCCATTCGGGGTCTGCACATACTGAATGTATGATGTTAGGCAAAACAGTGAATATTTCTTTTAAAACACAAATGGTAGTTACAATTGATATGGATAAATGTTTAATTTGTCCTTAATAAGTGGTGAACTGGTTGGGTTGAACAAAACACCAGAAAACAAACTGAACTTAATTAAAGTACTGTAGAGTAATCTAGGAACGAAAATATAAACATTATGATTTGACATGAAAACTGTAATTAATATTAATAGGTGCAAATCAATTTATAAAATAAAAGTTTGATGATTGAATGAACTGACATGATGTGATTTCATGAATACACTAACAATCAATGTATTCAAACCGTCCTTCATACTGTGTGGAATTTCATAACTAATTTCATTCTTCATATATTTGTGGTGATTGCTGAATTACTAAGTTTGAATGGACTGAAAAGCTTCATAGGTTTTAGCGAAACGGAACATTAGTGGAAGGTTTTGTGCATGAATAGAAAGGGATTTATCTGGATTTCCATTAACATAGTGGTGAATAATAGTAACACGAAAGGAGTGAGTGATGCTGAATTCGTGTTGTTGTTTGCATGGACTATGAACTAATACAGACAATTTGTAGAATTTATCATTACACATAAAAATCTTTAATTACGTCAAACATAACAGCAAAAAATATTATTCATATCAATGTGAGAAAGTGGTTTGAGTGGATTAAATCAATACGTGAATTCTGACACAATCATGTGATCCATTCCGTCATTTGTGATACTCGTAATTGAATAACAAGTTACTGATATCGCGTCACATCAACTAAGAATTATAATCTTCGAGTTTTCCTCACAAATTGAAATCAGTTACAGAAATATTGTTCAGGTCCAACGATTGATAACCCATGAACATTTCCAAGGAACTTATATGGTTAATCATATGGGCTTATGTAGAATTTCTGGTAAATGTGATATTTAGCCAGACAAACGTAATGGTCATTCCCTGACGAGATGTCACTTTCTGGTATCAGTTCATTTCCACCCTACTGAATTGACAATTAGGAGTTATGTGAATTCTTACTTATGAATTGTCAAGAAACGACTGGTTTTGTAATTTGTAGGATTGCCTAATTTCCCTACCAGCCACGTTGTAATCAAACCACATAATTCGAGATTACTCAATTTTTATGCCTTTCCTCCTCACTCGGTCAAGTAAAAATTCGTGAACATGAATATAATGATAACCATTGGAAATTGGAGAACATTGAACGTCCAATGTTGTGCAATTTGTTACAACTCAGTCATAAATGTAATCAGTGATAAGTCAATGAACAAAATGATTAATGTTTTATCGCTTTGACTCAGTGTATGCAGTTTATTGTAGTCTAGTTTTATTGCAATAATCATTCACATACTTAATCAATGTTAACATTGATATTGCTTGTGTGTAGCTTCTCTTGAATTATGCATTCAATAACGTGAGGAGTATAGTTAAATATACTGGTGGAGGACGATTTTTAACAGAATTCGGTCTGTGTCTTCCTGATGGCAATCCAGATTCAATAAATACGGTTGAATGTAACGCTGTGATGAATGCAGCCGACAGGAACTTCGAATCCTGGACTTATTGGGACGGAAATGAATTATTTCCCAACTTAATTGTAGACAACATTTCCGTAGGTCTTATTATTGATAAAAACTTTTTTTCGATTTGTGTCAATTTTTATTGGAGTCATTTTGTTCTGCACGCCGAACGAATTTATAATTTTCACTTTGGACAGTACCATCAGTATAAATTTAGGAAATAAATAGTATTTCTCATACTCGTATTGTCGTAGGCGAGAACTCAGGTGGGGAAATCCAATTTGTTGTTTAGTGCACAATCACACAGTGGCTTTGCAAAATATAGGAATCACACATATATAACATTTACACATCTTTGCGTTGTCCTTTACATAATCCATTATTCTGTTGTTATTTCATTTCCTCTCTGATTTCTTTTCTGTTCTCTTCATTTCAATCTCCTGCTTTCGGTATTCTATTTCCGATTGTTCCTACATATTTATCTAAACTGTCAGCATACTAAGCATACACCAGATTCTTCCCCTCGCCCTTTAAACGGTCGCTCCTGCAGATTTTTCGCATGCCGTGAGGCTTTCTTCTTAAACCGGATGTCCCACTTCCTATCCCCATCAACAGCGTCTAGTACACCCAACACCACACCGCCAGAACACTCCACTTTCCGTCTATTTCCTAGGCCGAACCACACATACTTATCACTTATTTCTCGTCCTTCCAGCTGCTTCTGCAGAACTGCATCCTTTCCGCCCTCCACCTTTGGCAGCAATACCAATTGTAGCGTACTCAATTGTGGAAACCTTGATAAACTCATAGCGGAAGATTTCACCTAATAAAACATTTTATGTTTATGCTTTTGATTTTGAGGATTTCTTTTAGAGCTTAAACAGCCCACACAAAATAAAACTGTTAATAAATTAACTGATGTGTAGTTGGAGAAAATGTTAACTTGACAGTAAATAGTGAAATCAAATACGTTGTATATTTGTTATAAAATTAAGCGTTTTTGTCACCTTATTCACAGAGAGCTTGCTCAGCGATTCAAAAATTACTTTGTAAGGAACATATTCTGAAATCCCTCTTTGAGTCCTCATCATCTACATTATGCTTGAATTTCATGTTATCCGAAATATTACAGTTAAGTGAACAAGAACTTTGAAGGAGTTTATGCAGATCGATTTATCAAGTACGCGTAACTGAAAACTGTGATACACACGCCCAGTGTACGGTATTTGCTCTCCTTTGAATTTCTTCATATATCACATCTCTAATCAATGTTGGACAAATAAGGTCTAGTTAATTCCCGACTGTCCATTGATTACCTCTTTAAGTATTACTATTACTACTCTCTAAAATGAACTGTTTAAAGTATTTTTCAGAACTAATAACCCCAGTCATGTTGATCCCTGTTAAATTCAACTGTCTGAACAAAGCTTTCTTCGTCTATTTAATAGAATTCTAAACATACACTCCAACTATTTTATATAAAGCAGGAACTACTATAGTCCACTGACTAACCAATACATACGTTTTCTTTTTTGGGTGATTCTCTCTACCATTACATAACTTCAGAGTTTTGCATTTCAATAAAAAAGACTAGTTGTAGAAGAAACAAAGAACGAGAGAAACTAACCACTATTCAAATGTCTTTTGCCTAAACACACATCTCTATGGTCGAAAAATTTCCACTGTACACTATCACATGGTTAACAAACTTCTAAGATCATGCATAAGCGTAAGTTAGGAGATATGATGAGTTGGTGAAATAGAAAGCCTCCTTAAATTACTAAGGAATTTGACTTAGTAGAACGCTCAACCTAATAGAATTTACGACAATGAAACATGATCATGGAGTATTAATTATCGTGATGACGGTTTTTGAGTTGAACCTTTTCGTACACATTTCGTATGGCCTCTGGTTTCTCTGCAGAAATAATACCACACTTATTTCCTTGTTCACTGATATTCACGAAAAGAGATCGTGTGAGCGTCCAATCGCTGATTTTCTCTTCTGAACTACTTTTCTTTAACTTTTCAATACATATTAATGCTTAACTTTACAATTATACATTATTTGCCTCCCACGTTTGTTTGGCTTTGGATAACTTTGGAAAACTCCAGTATTAGGCAATATCAAACTTTCGTTAACCGGCAGCATAACGTGATCATCTGCTGTGCTTAGTGTAAATATTTTCATCATCAGGTTACGATAACCCATTTCATGAAAATAAATCGAGAAAGTTTGTCATTATTAATAGCACCCTAGTGACCAAAGTGCAGTAAAGTATTAATTGATTTGAAGAATTCAGTTTTTTTCTGATAGTTTTTTTCAATATCATTTATGATAGAGTTCTAAAGTAAGCTTATGAACAAAAATATCTGGTCGAAAATCATCAACAGCTGACTCCATTTCCGTGGTGATATTAATTTTAGAATAGTCATTTTACTTCTTACTGCAGTCAAATAACTACTTAATCATTAGTCTTTGATCATCCATGTATGTCACATACTATAAAACACTAGTCATGGTTCCTTTAGAAATATTTGAATAACTATTTCATTGTAGAATATCTCTCCAAAGTTTCCTTACTTCCTTTGGCTATCAAGCTATCAGGTCATAATTTACACTGCCTTCAAATTGAATAACTTCCATATGTATTTCACATTAATGCAGTAGCTTGTTTCATTTCGTTATTTCTTCTATCTCATGCAGTTGAAATCATTCAGTCGTACATATCCACAGTCAACTGCCGGTCAACCTGTCGAACTGAGATTCGATGTCGATTCAGGTGTGTTTTATTATGCTTTTGTACCAACACAGAAATATTGTACAAACGTGGACGCAGTATTGTTAGTTGCAGAGATTTTTGTTCCAATGTCGATTCATTATCCATATGGAGTGAGAACTCGTTTTATACCAGAACAATTATATTATAAAATGTATGAAAATAATACTAATCTCATGTTTGTCTATGCACCATGCACGTTGATCAACACAAATATTGAACTTATTGAAATAACGATTATACCAAACCAAACACAAGATAAGCATTCAGACAACAATTATACTCATTTAACATGTTATTCGAAATGTATATCAATATTGTTAATTGTGAACTCCATGATATTTTCACATCTTTCAACATATTTTGACTAAACTAAAGAAATTTTACTTCATATAATGTACCAAATTTACTTTCATTTTCACAAGTTACCTACTAGTACGTCAGAAAATGTAAAAACATGTGTATATTGCATGCAAAATAAAATTAAATGAATTAAAAAATGCACATAAAGATTACGTAGAAAATTTTAAAAAAAAGCGAATACTATGAAGAAACTAGCGAAATACAGGAACGAATTATCGGTAATAATTGAATATTAACAAAAAAGAGATTCATTAGTGCTAGAGATACCGTCAGGGTTGGGTTGCGAATACGGTTTAGGCCTATTGGTTAGGGTTAGGGTTAGGGTTAGGGTTAGGTTAGGGTTAGGGTTAGGGTTAGGGTTAGGTTTAGGGTTAGGGTTAGGGTTAGGGTTTAGGGTTAGGGTTAGGGTTAGGGTTAGGGTTAGGGGTTAGGGTTAGGGTTAGGGTTAGGGTTTAGGGTTAGGGTTAGGGTTAGGGTTAGGGTTAGGGTTAGGGTTAGGGTTAGGGTTAGGGTTAGGGTTAGGGTTAGGGTTAGGGTTAGGGTTAGGGTTAGGGTTAGGGTTAGGGTTAGGGTTAGGGTTAGGGTTAGGGTTAGGTTTAGGGTTAGGGTTAGGGTTAGGGTTAGGGTTAGGGTTAGGGTTAGGGTTAGGGTTAGGGTTAGGGTTAGGGTTAGGTTTAGGGTTAGGGTTAGGGTTAGGGTTAGGGTTAGGGTTAGGGTTAGGGTTAGGGTTAGGGTTAGGGTTAGGGTTTAGGGTTAGGGTTAGGGTTTAGGGTTAGGGTTAGGGTTTAGGGTTAGGGTTAGGGTTAGGGTTAGGGTTAGGGTTAGGGTTAGGGTTAGGGTTAGGGTTAGGGTTAGGGTTAGGGTTAGGGTTAGGGTTAGGGTTAGGGTTAGGGTTAGGGTTAGGGTTAGGGTTAGGGTTAGGGTTAGGGTTAGGGTTAGGGTTAGGGTTAGGGTTAGGGTTAGGGTTAGGGTTAGGGTTAGGGTTAGGGTTAGGGTTAGGGTTAGGGTTAGGGTTAGGGTTAGGGTTAGGGTTAGGGTTAGGGTTAGGGTTAGGGTTAGGGTTAGGGTTAGGGTTAGGGTTAGGGTTAGGGTTAGGGTTAGGGTTAGGGTTAGGGTTAGGGTTAGGGTTAGGGTTAGGGTTAGGGTTAGGGTTAGGGTTAGGGTTAGGGTTAGGGTTAGGGTTAGGGTTAGGGTTAGGGTTAGGGTTAGGGTTAGGGTTAGGGTTAGGGTTAGGGTTAGGGTTAGGGTTAGGGTTAGGGTTAGGGTTAGGGTTAGGGTTAGGGTTAGGGTTAGGGTTAGGGTTAGGGTTAGGGTTAGGGTTAGGGTTAGGGTTAGGGTTAGGGTTAGGGTTAGGGTTAGGGTTAGGGTTAGGGTTAGGGTTAGGGTTAGGGTTAGGGTTA